ACTCCGTTCCATATAAGGAAAGTAGACGAGATGTTCTCTTAAGTACTAATTTCGGGACTTGAACAATGGGGCCCCACCCTCTCATTGGCTCGAGAGGGACTTGGTTTATGATTGGATCATAAACAAATTGTTCATTACAGAATCAGTAGTACTTAAGGTGAAAGATGTAATTATAGGGGTAAAACGGACTTTTGACCAAGCTGTAATTATGAACAACTCGTGAAGGTCGACTTGCTTGTAATGATTATATCAATGGACATAATCCACTAACTCAAACATGGATTTTTCCATGAGGTGAACTCAACCTTTTGACTTTCTTTAATTTAAATAATTAATTTCAAATCAAAATAATATTAAATGATTAATTAAACCATTTAATTAATATTTAACATTAAATAAAATGCCAATCCCAATCAATTCCCACATATATTGATTATGAATCCTATTCGTAATTAAAATATTTAAATCGTATTTATATATCTCCAATTCTCTCTTTTTATTTAATTCATAATTAAAACAAAATGTGGTTAAATATATTGTATATATTTAGCATATATTTCCTAATTTGAATTCAAACACTTCGAACTCACTCGTCACACTGTTCTAAGGTTTAGTCTGATATGAGCTAGCAGGGGGACCTAATGGACCTACAGATCATGGGCTCCAACGATCCGAGATTAACCGGCTAAACTCATTAACCTTGTTAACCAACATTCGTTAACTACTAGGACACTCCACTATAGCCTAGTAGTTGTACTCCCCTCACTATAGATATATTTTTGTCCATTTGATATAACCATGATTAGTAAGTTGATCCTTCACAAGTTGTTCGTAACTAGAGCTTGGTTAATTTACTGTTTTATCCCTAAAGTTAGTCCCACTAATCCTCTCATGAACAATTGGTTTGTGGTCCAACCACCAAACTGAATCCCTCCCGAGCCAATGAGAGGGTGGGGCCCCTTGTTCAAGACTTGGAGTTAGTACTTAAGAGAACAACCTCTCTACTATCCCTAAAAGCGGGTAGGAGTGAATTCCATCTTACACTCTATGTCCCCAGCTATTCATCCAGTATTACCCCTGAGATGGGAGGTTTATTGAGTCGGTGAACTCGGGTCACTCTCACCATGCAAATCTAAAGATAATTCTGAATAAACAAGAGTTCATAGTTAGCTCAGGATTAAGATCGAGTACCTAGGTTATCGAATGAAAAAATGAGTCTCAACAGTAAACGACATTATAAAGTGAGAGTGGTTTTTTTCATGGTCCGATCTTATGCAATACTCATTGCATAAGACGCCCCCACTCACATGTCTCCACATGTACAATTTAGTGATCACATTGTTTATATCATATACAAAAGTGAGCCGCATCCATAGTGTCCCCAGAATAAGGTACTCAACCTTATCCCTGTACTATAGATCATTTTGACTATATACTTGAACTTGATCTACTCTTATGTCTCTACATATAGTTCTAGTAATCATACTATAGCCAAAGTATTCTTAGTTTATTAGATTTAGATTAATGATCATAACATTCACTTTATTCCGTAACAATCTTTACTGAATAAACATCAATAATAACTTTATTGAAAACATAATATGTTTTTGTTTACAAACTATGAGTTTTATGACATAAAACCAAGTAGAAAGATAGATTAAGACGAAGAAGTGGATGAGAGAGCTCAAAGGAGGGGTATTCAAGTGAAGAACAACAACAAAGTTTGATAACTCTCTAATCATTTACTCTCTTTTCTTATTCTATGAATTTTACATGATTAAAATGATGTTTCATTTGTTTAAATAAGTTTATATGGAGAGCTAAACCTTATAAGGAAAGCGGGAGAGTTTTATGTGTTAACCGTGTAATTTTTAGTTTGTTAAAAAGTTGGTAGTAGTGATTTACAAATTTGTTTAGTTAGCCACTTTAGATACATAGTTCTTCTCTTATGGGAAAGAAGAGAGCAAGAAAATTCTTTTTAATACTGATACTTGCATTGATACTTGAAGGTAATGGAAGGGTTTGAAATAATTCTTGTTAATAGAAATTACAAAACAATTAGGAAAGTAATCACCATGCATTACCCTCAAAAGAGCACTTGAGAATTTATTGAGAATTTATAAAAAAGAAGATAAAATCCACCACAAATTTCAACAACTTATCTATTTAAACTCTCCTGGCCCAACCTTCCTCATTATCATTGATTTTCTCATTGCTCTTTGTTTTTCTACTGTTGTAATTGACACTCTTGTGTAAATTTTGTTTAAATAATTTAAGCTCATCAACATTTGAATGATACTAAAAAATAACTTAATTTTCAGCGACAAAAGTAACTAAATAAAATAGGTTTTCTATGCAATCGATAATTTACTTATTACTTGCTACTTGTGATAGTGGATACTTGCATGTCCTCCCTTAAACCGGATGCACGAACCGCTATAAGCCCTTGGATGTCCTCCCTTAAACCCGTAATAAAATTAAAGATCTTCTTCTTTTGTTGTATCAATTAGTTCTAACGTGAACTTGCATAACCTAGTGAACTCCAGGCATACTCTTCCAATGCCTTACTTCTGTGTTTGAGGCTCAGGAACTCCTCCTAGATTTGGTGCATGGCACAAAAAAGGTGCATATGCCCTTTAACTTATAAGTGGTGTAGAACCTTGTAGATTTTCATGAGTAATTATATTGAAAGGTTGTTTCTATTGGCTTCTAGCTATGTCTCACTGTCAAAAGATCTACCTTACCTCTATCGAACACGGGTGGATTGAACTTCTTAAAGACTCTTAAGAATTACGACTCTTTCATGGTCCCTTACACCATTTTGCATGTTCTCATTTAAATTGAGTGACTAATCGGTAAATATGGTGCTGAATCTTAACAAATTTAAATAAAAAAGAGTAAAAAGAGAACTTCATGTTATGCTGGTAAAGTACACATGATGATATAAAAGTATGAGTGGTAAGCGCATAGTATATATTATTCCTTATGTACACTATAACTTCAAAACTACCATCTATATAATAATGTATCACGAAATAAAATAAAAGGAGAGAAATAAAAATTGATAAAGGTATGGAATTATTTTTTTATTCAGCTTTGCGTTTTACTTTACTCTAAGTGGGTACTCGATTGCGAATTGCTTTTAAGTCGAGAAATCAAACCTGTACAGCATAGAGTAAACATTTCGAACAACATATATTTCTCGATAGAACCTTGTTTTTGTTGTATGAGTACTCGTTTTCATACGTTTTTCCACGATCTATAACATTGTGGTTACGAGCAAACAAAAATTTCAGAGAATCGAGACCTTTAATGCTCTCCCTTTTATCTTAGAGTTAAGTTGAAACGTTAAAATGTCATATCTTTAACCTCGATTAATCAAATTAGATGATTTTTTTTTTCATTTTATGTAACTTTTTGAGATCTACATGTAGGCAGGCTAACCCTTCATCCCAAAATACGGCCGTTTTGACCTTAAATTTTGCTTATAAAATTTTTTCTTCCACATTTCACCTCTTTGAGATTTCAACCAAAGCACTTTTTCATATCTAAGATAATTCAATCTTTTTCTACGTACATGAATCTGCCATAACATATCAACATGTATGCACGTCAGCACTCAAAATGGCCAGTGGGGCCCATGCAGGTAAAATTGTCCATTTTTAATCCACAAGGAATCACCATTTACATAAAGAATCATAAAAAAAGTTTGGAGGTAAGTGCTGAAATTAGGAGGATAGCTAAACTCATGTCATTTGTGCTCGCCCAAGCACGCCTAACTGCGGAGTTCTCATGGGATCCGATGAATTAGAACTCTAGATGTGCTCGAGGCGACGGGATCCATTTGCCCTCTGAGTGAGGGCGGTTGCCATTTGTAAAGAAAGGGGAACTCCAGATGTGCTCGAGGCGACGAGATCCATTTGTCCTCTGAGCGAGGGCGGTTGCCATTTGTAAAGAAAGGGGACGGTTGCCATTTGTAAAGAAAGGAAGATAAGAGTGGGGAGAAATTGAAATAACAGTAAACGAAGTAAAAAAAAGGGGTGCAACACGAGGACTTTAAAAGCGGTCACCCAACTTAGTACTACAATCACCCAAGTACGCTTCACTGCGGAGTTCTAATGGGATCCGGTGCATTAGTGCTGGTATGATCACACCCGACATGCAATGCGCAAAAAATTGCATTTAACGCATGCGGGGCGGCATGATCGAGGAGAGGGTGGGTGCACGCGCGTGCTCGAAACGGGCGGTTGTCATTTGTAAAGAAAGGAAGATAAGAGAGGGAGAAATTGAAATAACGAGTAAAAGAAATAAAAAAAAAAGGGGGTGCAACACGAGGACTTCCCAAGTGGTCACCCAACTTAGTACTACTCTCGCCCAAGCATGCTTAACTACAAAGTTCTAATCGGATCTAGTGCATTAGTGCTGGTATGATCGCACCCAACATGCAATACGCACAAAATTGCATTTAACGCATATGGGGTGGCATGATCGAGGAGACGGTGGGTGCACGCGCGTGCTCGGAACGGGCGGCGGACGTGATCGTGGCGACGGTGGGTGCACGTGCGTGCTCAGAACGGGCGGCGGGCGTGATCGAGGCGACGGTGGGTGCACGCACGTGTTCGGAACGGCCAATGGGTCCTGCGCGGAGACGTTGGAGAGAAGGAACGCGATGGGCGTGAGCGTGCGAGCGGAGGCGATTGCCATTTGTAAAGAAAGGAAGATAAGAGCGAGGAGAAATTGAAAGAACGAGTAAAAGAAATAAAAAAAAAAGGGGTGCAACATGAAGACTTCCCAAGTTGACCCAACTTAGTACTACTATCGCCCAAGCACGCTTAACTGCGGAGTTCTGATGGGATCCGGTGCATTAGTGCTTGTATGATCGCACCCGACATTTAATGCGCACAAAATTGCATTTAACGCATGCGGGGCGGCATGATCAAGGAGATGGTGGGTGCACGCGCGTGCTCGGTGTCACAATCGCACTTTTGAAGGTAGCGGACTTGCAATTGTGCGGCACTCAATTTCCAACGACAAGTGAGCTAAGCCAATTCATTCTTGCGTCGCCTTCGGCCAAGCGACGAATGCTCGAGTCTCCTGCCTCGATTTTAAGAGAATGTTTTAGAAAACGAGGGCAAGAGAGATTTTCGAAAGAGAGATTTTTGAAAGAGATCTTATATAAGCAAGAAAGAGAGAAATAACGACGGCTCACAATATATAACCTTGGGTAGGGAGAAGTCGACAACTAGTCGTATCCCCCTAGAGTATATTCTGAGGCATTTCATGTCTAACAGGCCTAGACATGATATTTCTGAAACGTCATGCTTCCAAGAAATACAAAAGTAAAATACAAGAATATGAAAAGACATAAAGGGTTGGGCTTGTCATGGGCATGCGGCCATGGGCAACACGCCTTGGACGAGCATGATCGTGACATCCTCCCCCACCTAATTGGTTGACATCCCTGTCAACCAACTACTTTCAAACTTGGCGATGTGGGTGGCAGTGGAGTCTAGATCTTCAGCACGTTCCCAGCTGGTTTCCTCCATAGGGAGATTCTTCCATTTGACAAGAAATTCATGAATCGTCCATACGGATCTTCCTATCTTCCTAACCCTGTCGGCTAGGATCTCCTATATTTCTTTACTGTCTCTTTGTTTTAGATCGATGCTCGGTCTTGTGATTACATTTAGCTGGTCATCGTCCGAGACAGGGTGATTTTTCTAGTTTCTCACATGAATTACTGGGTGGATTTTCATCCATATGGGTAGCGCAACTCTGTAGGAGGAAGCCCCGATCTTTTTAAGGACTTCAACCGGGCCTTCATATTTTTAAACTAGTCGTTGGTCCTTTCGGCTGTGAAATCTGATCTATTCTTGTCTCAACTTCATGAGAACTTGATCTCCTGTTCGAAATTGGAGGGGGCGACGCTTCTTGTCCGCCCACTTCTTCATATGCTTGGAAGCTTTCTCTAAATATGCCCGGACTATATCTGTGTTCTGCTTCCATTCTCTTGTGAAGTTTTGAGCTTGAGGGTTTGCTTCCATTCTCTTGTGAAGTTTTGAGCTTGAGGGTTTTTTCCTGTATAAGGATGATCAATAATATGTGGTAAGGCCGGTTGTCGTCCACTTACAATTTCGAAGGGACTTTTCCCCGTAGACGAACTCATTTGACAATTGAAACAGAATTGGACAACATCTAGCAGTTGTATCCAGTTTTTTTGGCGAGCGTCGACTAAGTGACGTAAGTATTCTTTGAGCAAGCAGTTGAATCGTTTCGTCTGTCTATCGGTTTGAGGATGGTAGCTCGAAGAGATGTTTAAAGTTGTTCCCAAGAAGGCAAATAATTCGGTCCAGAATGTGCCAATGAATCTACCATCCCTATCACTGTGATGCTCGACGGAATGCCCCATAACTTGACAATGTTTTTGAAAAATAGTTGGGCTGTTAGTTCAGCCGAGCATAATTTAGGAGTGGGAACAAACGTTGCATATTTCGAGAACCGATCTACGATAACCAAGATGGCATCATATTCTCCGACTTTTGGGAGGTGTGTTATGAAGTCCAGAGACACACTTTCCCAAGGCCTTGTTGGCACAGGTAGAGGTTCCAAGAGTCTTGAGACTTTGCATTTCTCGACTTTTTCCTGTTGGTAGATGAGGCACGTCATGGTGTATTGCATGATATTGTCCCGCATATTAGGCCAGAAGTACCCCTTTTTTATTAGAGCATACGTTCTTTGCCACCCAGGGTGTCCTGCCCATAAGGTATCATGACATTCCTGAATGAGCTTCTTTCTCAGTTCTCCCCTTCTTGGGACGTATAATCTGTTTCCTTTAGTCATTAGAAGATCTCCCTCGACCCAAAATAGTCGTGTCTTCCCAGCTTTAGCTAGTTCGATGACGGCTTTGGCCGATGAGTCTTTGTGTAAATGTTCTTTGATGATGTCGCGCATTGATCCATCGATCTTACTTGAATGAATATGGCCTAACATGCACAGGGCCGCATGTTTGCCCTTCCGACTCAGCGCATCAGCTGCTTGATTACTCTTTTCTGCCTTGTGTTCGAATTTGAAGTCGAATTCCGCCAACAACTCCTGCCACCGGGCTTGTTTTGCCGTCAATTTTGGTTGATTGAAGAAGTGGCAAATGGCGCTGTTATCCGTCTTCACTTTGAACTGTGATCCCAAGAGGTACTATCTCCAGACACGTAGGCAATGGACCACAACCAACATTTCTTTTTCGAAGACGGTGTATCTCCGTTCAACATCATTGAGCTTTCGACTTTCATAAGCGATGGAGGTGGCCTTCTTGAATAAGGACACCGCCTAGGGCAAAGTTGGAAGCATCTGTCTTTATTTCAAATGGCTTTGTAACATATAATAACCCGAGGATAGGACCCTTCGTCATGGTTGTCTTCAGATCCTCAAAGGCCATTTGACATTTATTTGACCACGACCAAGGGTGGTCTTTCTCAAGGAGCTCTGTTAATGGGGCAGCTCGCCGTGAAAACCCTTCGACGAACCGCCTTTAGTAGTTTGCCAATTCTAGGAAGGATCGCACATCGGATACGGAAGTAGGGATTTTCCACTCTTGAATAGCTTTTATCTTGTCGCTATCCATGTCGATCTGTCCATAACTAATGACATGTCCAAGGAAGTTGATGCATGTTTGTGCGAAGACACATTTTTCTTTCTTGACGTATAACTGATTCTGCCGCAGCTTGTCAAACACTAGCTTCAAGTGCACCTTGTGTTCCTCTAGGGTTGTGCTGTATACAACTATGTCATCGAGGTATACTATGACGAACTGATCCAAGTATTCGTAGAAAACCTTGTTCATTAACGTGGAAAACTTAGTTGGGGCGTTTGTCAAGCCAAAGGGCATCACCAGGAACTCAAAGGCCCCATATCTTGTTACGCACGTCATCTTAGACTCGTCCCCTTCGGCAATACATACTTGATAGTACCCTGATCGTAAGTTAAACTTCGTGAAGTACTTGGCACCGTGAAGTTGGTCGAATAAGTCGGATATTATGGGCAGTGGGTATTTGTTGCATACTGTTACCTTGTTTAAGGCTCTATAATCTATGCACAGACGCAACGTCCCATCCTTCTTTTTCTAGAATAGTACAGGGGCTCCGTATGGTGCTTTTGTCGGGCGGATGAATCCTGCCATCAATAACTCATCTAATTGTTTCCTCAATTCGGCTAGCTCAGGGGGAGCCATCTGGTACGCGTTCTTTGCTGGGGGTTTAACTCCGGGGAGGAGTTCAATTTCGTGATCAATGCCTCAACGGGGTGGTAATGTTTGTGGTAAGCTCTCTGGCATTATGTCAGCATAAGTGTTTAGTACCTCCTTGATTTCGCTTGGAATAGTTTTCTTAGTGATCACTTCTTTCATCAGTGGTATAGCCATAAATATAGGTTCCTCTCGTGCGAGTCCTCTTTTCAATTGCATGATCAATATCATTCTAGGATTACCTGGTTGCTTGATGCTTGCAGGTATTACTATGGGGTTGCGGTCGGTGATCACCAAGCATTTCGCTAGTGGCATTGGGATAACTTTGTGTTCTAAGAGGAACTCCATCCCAAGTACAACGTCAAAGTCATCCATGCGAACCACGACAAGGTCCAACTCTCTTGTCCAAGCCCCTAATTTGAAGGGGACTCTTTTGGAAACTCCCACAATAGGCAAGGCCTCGGAGTTGACAGCTTTCATTTTTCCAGGGTCCTTTTCTATGGTGAGTTCCAATCTTTGTACTTCTTGATCGGCAATGAAGTTGTGGGTCGCTCCTGAGTCTATCAAGGTGCTCTTGCTTGGTTGAGAGTTTATTGTTGCATCCACAAACATGAGCCCTTTCTCTATTATCTCCTTCGAGTCGACCTTTCGTTGGAGGGCTGACAAGAATTTGAGTGCGACCATTCGAAGGTTGCTTGATCTTCCTTCTTGTCTAGCATAGTCTCAACTCTTGTGTCGTTGCTTTCTTGAATGGACACTTGAAGTGCACTGAGAGAGGCCCGATAAGGATAGTAGGACACTTTGTGGGTGCCTTTACACAACAGGCATTGTAAAGGTGTCGTCGGGTGGTTCCTTTGAGGGTAAGGTCCTCGAGATGTCCTCGCTTGGTTGTTCTGAGGAGGTCTATCTGTCCACCCGCTTGGTCTGTCGTTACTTCCGTTTGGCCTATTGGGGCTTCCATTTCGTGACCTGGCGGCTAATATGTTTTGCCCCCAGTGTTTGGGGCTTCTGTTGTTTTTCTTTGGTAACTCGCTTCTTTCCCATAGTCTAGGAGCCTCTCGGCGCTGGCAATTGCGGTAGCTAGGTCTTGGATCTTTTTCTCGTGTACTTTTGTTTTGGCCCACGGTTGTAACCCATTTATAAAAAAGAACACCTTGTCCTTCTTTGATGTACCCCTGATATCTAGAATCAGGGTCGAGAACTGTCTAACATAGTCCCTTATGCTTCCAGTTTGCTTTAGGGCTATTAGTTTTTCCATTGCTAGATGCTCTAAGTTTTCGGGGAGGAATTGGTCCCTCAACTCTCTCTTGAGGTCTATCCACGAGTCTATGGTGCACAATTCATTCTCGATATCTTGACCCTCGTACGCCACCAAAGTTTGGCGTCGTCTACGAGATACATCGAGGCTACTGTCACCTTTATGTCGTCGGTACAAGCCGGTGTGGCTTTGAAGTACTGTTCGACATCAAAGATGAAGTTCTCCAACCCTTTGGCATCCCGGTTCCCTTTGAAAGATCTGGGGGTCTGGGAACTTCAGTTTGTTGGATCCTGTATTAGTTTCCCCAGCCGAGACGTTCTCCACGGCTTTCATGGTCACCTCAATTCGGGTGCTCATGACGGACATCTTTTCTTGGATTTCATCGATCGTTGTTCTGAATTCGTCAGCTAATCCATTGAACAAACTCATCATTGTATTTTGTAGCACGTCGAACTCTTCGCCACGTCCCTCCTTGTGCGCGACAGAGCTATTGGGGGTACCAGACAGTCTTGGGCTGCTCGTAGGAGCAGTTTTTTCTTCGATGGGTCACTCGAAACATCAGTTCTGCAATTGGTTCCCCATTCCGGCGGTTACTCATGACATCGATTTCTACGACTTTTTCACTCAATTCTGTCACCCATGCTT